TTTCTGTGTCTATTGAAATGGTCAAGTGTTCATTTTTTAGATATGAAATAAACCTTGCATTCCTAGAATAAATCCCATTTGGTCATGGTTTATAATCCTTTTTCTATATTTCTATATTCGGTTTGCTAGTATTTGTTGAGGATTTTTGTTTTTATTCACAGGGAGTATTGGTATGTAGCTTTTTTATGATTTTTAAAATCTGGTTTAGTATCAGGGTAATTACTGCACTTGAAGAATGAATTGGGAGTATTTCATATGCTTCTATTTTTACAGGTAGACTTTATGAGGGATTGATATTCTTTTAATGTTTGGTAGAATTCACCAGTGTAGCTATCTGGGTTTAGGCTTTTGTTTATGGGAAGTTTCTTGGTTACTGAATGTTCTTATTTGTTATAGTTATGTTTAAGTTACCTGTTTTCCCACTGCATTTATCTAATTCGATGGCATACAGTTGCTTATAGGATTCTCTTATGATACTTTATTCTGTAAGGTTGGTAGTGATACTCCATCCTTCATTCCTGATTCTAGTTAGTTGAGTATACTCTTTTTTTCTTGAGTTCAGTCTAGCTATATAGGTTTGTCAATTTTGTTGTTCTTTTCAAAAGACTAACTTTTGGTTTTATTGGTGCTCTCTATAATTTCACTATTCTCTATTTTATTTATTTCCATTCATATCTTTATTTCCCTCCTCATTTTGGTTTAGATTGCTCTTCTATTTAAGATGAAAGATTAAATTCTTAATTTGGCATCTTTTTTCTTTTTTAGTATAAGCATTTTTATGGTTATTTATATGACCTATTTTTTTTCTCTTTTTCTTAAATTGAAATATATTTTACATATAACATTAGTTTCAAGTGTACAAAATAATGATTCAATATTTATAAATATTGTGAGATAATTACCATAGTAAGTTAATATTCATCACTACAAAGTCAAAATTTTTTCTTGTGATGGGAACTTTTAAGATCTACTCTTAGCAATTTTCAAATATACAATACTGTATTATTAATAATAGCAACCATGCCCTGTAGTATATCATCATGATTTATTTATTTTATAATGAGAAGTTTATATCTTTTGACCACCTTTACCCATTTTGCCCACTCCCTACCCCTGACAACCACTAATCTGTCCTCTGTATATATGAGTTCATTTTTAATTTTTTTATATTCCACATACAAGTGAGAGTATATCATATTTGTCTTTCTCTGTGACTTAGCATAATGCTCTCAAGTTTTATCCATGTCGTTGCAAATAGCAAGATTTCCTTCTTTTTATAGCTGAATAATATTCCATTTTGTGTGTATGAAGTTTTCATTTCACTTATACTTTTTTAAATCTAGAATTTCTTTTTCTTTTTTTAAAATATTTTCCTTTTATCGATATCCTCTATTTGGTGAGACATCTCTGTCATACTTTTCTTTAATTCTTTAGTCCCGGTTTACTTTAGTCTTGAACATTTTTAAATAGTCAATTGGAATTCTTTGTCTGCTAAGTCCAAAACCTGGGCGTCTTTAGTAATGTTTTCTGTTAGCTGCTTTTTTCTCCCTGTGTATATGGCATAATTTCCTATTCGCCTGTCTCAATTTTGTTGAAAAATGAATATTTTAGATGCTGTATTATAACAACTTTGGTATTAGATTTCTCCCCTTTTCCCAGGGTTTGTTATTATTTTTCTCATTTCTACTTATTCATTTGGTGACTTTCTGGACTAAGTCTGTATTTCATGTAATGTATGGCCTCTGAATTCTCTACTAGCTTTTTGTTGTTGTTTTACTTCTCATTTTTATTTTAAGTCTGGCTTTCCTAATGGTCACCCTCGGGTCGGTATAATATAGTCATTAAGCAATAACTAGTCAGAATATTTCTTTAAATGCTCTGCTTGTATGTTTTTCACCATTTGACAAGGGGATCTATGGGAGAAAGCATGTCTTCAACCTTCTGTTTTTTACTTCCTTCTTGTATAGGATCTCAAGGTCAGCCAGAGGTGAGTCACTTTTCCTTCCTAGGAATCATGACTATTTGAATCCTAAGGAATATCTCTGAGTTTTTCAAAGTTTCCTATAGCCATCTAGTTTTCCAGAATTTCCTTTAAATTTCTTCTCTAGGCTCTTATTTCCTGTGCCTTAAAAATCACAGCCTCAGGTAGGTGTGATATTTCCAGCAGATTACAATTGTTTTTGGTAGTGCCCTAAAGTTAGAGTTCTTTTTCTCCCTGAGATGAGCTCTCAGTCAAATCAAAGAAACACAATACCTTTGGAATATAGATTTCTCAATGAACTTCAAGTTGGACAACCTATCAACTGTACCCTGGGGATGGAGTTTTTATAGCAGATACAAAAGATATTAGTCATCTCCATTAACTGCAAGGCTGTTTGCTTTTACAGCTACTGTACTACTGAGGTGGATAGAGAGGAGAATGGGAATAACTCTCAAGAAAATTTAAAGATAAAAAAACTTTTAAAATCTCACTGTTTTATCAAAGTTTGGTAATTTCTCTGGGATGGATGGTTTTCATTTCTATCTCTGATTTTGGTTAATTCTAGAGTTCTGAAATGGTTTCATTTCTATCTCTGATTTTGGTTAATTCTAGAGTTCTAGGGGTTTTTTTTCCCCCCGTTATTTTCATAGGTCTTGTGGGAAATTTAACCGAGGTCCTCACTCCACTGCCCTGGAAGTCGACCTTTATGTAGCCCTTTATACTCTTGCCCTTAACAGCCTGTGGGGAGATGGGACTCTTTGGCATAGATGCCTAAGGCAAGTGGACTGGGCGAGCTGAAGAAAGGCCCATGTTCTACAAGGAGCTGCAGCAAGATGGAGCTGGTTCAGTTGGTTGGGCCTCCTATCTTTGTTCCACAAAAGCCATAGAAATAGAGAAATCTGAAAAACCCTGCACGTAGTATCTCAACAAATAGTCACTAATATTATTTTAGCCTGAGTAGCAGAAGATGGCACATAAGTAGCTGGTTTATTTATTTTTGTTGCAGATTCTATAGGAACTCTGGGCAATATCTCCTTTGCTGATCAATGATAGCAACTAACTGTGGTGAAAAGTTCTCATATTTGACTGGTTTCCTGATTCAAATGACTGCCAGATCATTAAGCTTTTCTTTCCTTGGAACTCTAGAATGGCAGTCAACTCAAACACAGTAGCAGCCCCAAAGAAAAGGAGTTGAATCTACAAAGGATCACCCTTGCTAGTGGAAGACAGGAGTTGGCATAAATGCCCCAGTTTCACATTCTCTAGAGGGGCAACTAGGAAGGTACATTTGGAAGTGGAGGCTGTAAAGAGCCTTCCCAGACAGTAAGAGTCACTGAGGACAGGGGATAATGAACTCCTGAGTACTGCCCCAAGTGAGGGCAGTGGGTAGAATAGGTAGTGAGACCCATACTTAGGAATGGACAAAGGGAAGATGGATAAGAAGGTAGGCATCAGGGGCAGGCAACAATAGTCTGGAGGTGGACCATACACTACTTTGCATGATCTTTCATTTTCTAAAAGTTTCTACCCATTAAGAAGTAGATATTAGAAGAAAGAATTCAGCTGGATGGTGGACCTTGACAAAGAAGGAAGAATCATGAGTTCATTGGGAGAACTATGTTCATTTTAGGGAGGTTGCTCAGCTGCCTCTGAATTCTGGGTAACAGCTGTTTAAAGTTGCCACCTCAAAAACCACGTTTTGATGTGACAGCTAAATACAACTGAAAATGTATCTTTCCAATCTAAACAGATTACAGACTTGCCATTTTGCAAAAAAAAAGTGCGTCATTTTGCATGTAGAGATTAAGCCAAAACATGGGTTCATTTCTTTTCCAATGATATGATACACAAGAGGAAATTTGCTGTTTCTGTACGCAAATGAAAGTTCAGGTAGCAATTAGAAAATAGAAACATAAATAGAGAGCTACTCAATTCTTTCTCAAGAATAAAAAAAACAAAACAGGATGCACTTTTGCAGTTTGCCTTAAGAGGCTGTTATAAGAGGCACTGAGGAACTTTTAATTATGGTGAGTTAACTTACGGCTGATAGGATATTCCTTATACCACAGTAAAGGGGAGATTGCCTGACACCTGAGCTTTTTGTCCTTCAAAACAAGATTGACCAGTGGGCTCTAATGGCCTCTACACTGAAAGTTCTGAGGGAGATTGAGCTCTGGTGGCCCACAGAGCCATCCTTCATTGTTTCTTTCTCCATCCTTGTCTTACACTCCCTGCTCCTCTCTTTTAGATATTGGGATCATTTTCCAAAAACAATTAACCTGCATCCAAGTCCCTGCTCAGAATTACTTTTCATTGCCACCCAAATTAGTCTCCATTCCACTCATAATGCCCACACCGTCTTGCCTCTCTGAGGAATTACCTGATGAGTCAGTTAAGTTAAACCCAGCCTTGTTTAATCTGTGACTATCCTGTTTTGCGACTTTCCTTCTGGCTTCCTGGCTGCTCTGCAAATCTTTTTGGCAACTCAAATTCATTTTAGAAGTTTAAGCCAAAATTAGTACTGGGTCACAGATAAGATTCTCAACAAAAGCAGTGCGAGGAATAAAGAGAAATTGTCAATTGGAAGATGATCTTTTTTTAAATTAAGTTTATTGATATGACATTGGTTAATACAATTATATAGATTTCAAGTATACAATAATACGTCATCTGTATATTGCGTTGTGTGTTCACCACCTGAAGTCAAATCTTCCATTACCATATATTTGGCCTCCTTTACCTTTATCTATCTCCCTCATCCCCGCTTTCTCTCTGATAACCACTAAAACTTGTCTGTGTCTATGAGTTTTGTTTTGTTTTGGGTTGCTTTCGGGTTTTATATCTCACATAAAATGATCTTGCTTTTAAAGTGAGCTTGTCTTTACAGATTGGCTGTACCCTAACAAAACACTAGAGACCAAACCTTGATTCACTTGCAATTAAGTTACTGCTTATTTAACACCCACCTCTTATGTCATCTCCATTTTTTTAAATCTACTCCTTTCATTTTGTTTTCTAGGTTTACTGATCTTTGACATGGACCTACTTCTTTGCAACCTACAAATGAAGTCCTGCACCCAGAACAGTTGATGGCATTGTTGGTGATGGACCAGAAGTTTTTCATCTTTCCAACAAATAACTGAGTCGAACAGAATTCTCTTAGGTAAGGCTCAGATACTGAATAGGTAAGGGATATCCCCAGTGAAGTTTGTTGCCAACCAAGAGATTACGGTTCTTAACTAAACTGGGATTCCATTTGATCTTCATTCCCTGGATGATCTTTGATATATATAGTAGGTATTGGTTCACACTTCTATCACATATGTAAACCTCCCCAATACACACATTATTTCCAAGTGATTTTACATCATTACAATATACTTACAAGTAGAGAGAAGATAGTTAAAGTTGTTTCTCAAATGGACCACACTGCCTTTAAAATTTTTTTTATGTATAATTAAATTTATGTGTTAATTTCTTGACAGTAAGTACTTAAACTTTATTTTTTTATTGAGATATAATTGACAAACAACACTGTATAAGTTTAAGGTGTATAGAATACTGACTTTATTTACATATATTGTGATATCATTACCACAATAAGGTAATATCTATCATCTCATAGATCTTAAAAAATGTTCTTTGTGAAGAACTTTAGGCTCTACTCTCTTTGCAACTTTTAAATAGACAATACAGCAGCATTAATTATAGTCATTATGCATATTACATCTCCAATACTTACTTATCTTACACCTTTTCCAAGTCTCCTACCCCCTGCCTCTGGTAACCACAAATCTGATCTTTTTTATTGAGTTTATTTGTTGTTGTTCCACATATAAGTGAGATCATACTGTATTTGTCTTTCTCTGACTTATTTAATTTAGCATAATACCCTCGAGGTTCACCCATGTTTCTGCAAATGGCAGGATTCCCTTTTTAACGACTGAATAGTATTCCATTATATATATTTACATGTATATATGTATATAAAATATGCATACACACTACATTTATCTGTTGATGAACACAGGATTGTTTTCATGTCTTGGTTGTTGTAAATAATGCTGCAGTGAATATGGAGGTACAGATAACTCTTTGAAATAGTGAAATTGCCGGATCATACAGTAGTCCTAGGTAAGGCTCAGATACTGAATAGGTAAGGGATATCCCCAGTGAAGTTTGTGAATTTTTGAGGACCATGCATACTGTTTTCCAGAGTGGCTGTACCAATTTATAATCCTATCAAGAGTCCACAGGGTTTCCTTTTCTCCATATCCTCACCAACATTTACTATCTCTTGTCTTTTTTATGATAACTGTTCTAATAGGTGTGAAGTGACACCTCATTGTGGTATTGATCCTCATTTTCCTAATGATTAGTAATGTTGACTACCTTTTCATATACCTGTTGGGCATTTGTATGTCTTTAGAAAATTGTCTATTCAGGTCTTTTGGATGATTTTAAAATTAGATTATTTATATTTTTTGCTATTGAGTTATATAAGTTCTTTATAATCAGATATATGATTTGCATATTTTTCCTATTTCATAGGTTGTCTTTTCATTTTGTTGATCATTTCTTTTGCTGTGCAAAGCTTTTTAGTTCGATGTAGTCCTACCTGTTTCTTACTTGTGCTTTAGGTGTCATATTCAGAAAGCTATTGCCAAGTCCCATATTAAAGAACTTTGTTCCTGTGTTTTCTTCTAGGAGTTTTATGATTTCAGATCTTAGTTCAAGTCTTTAATCCATTTCGAGTTAATTTTTGTGAGTGGTGTTAAGGGGTCTAGGTTCATTCTTTACGTGTGAATATTCAATTTTCCCAGCACCATTTATTGAAGTCTCTCTCTTCCATTGAGTATTCTTGGCTTTCTCATCAATTATTAGTTGACCATATAAGCATGGATTTATTCTGAGGTCTTGATTCAGTCCCATTGGACTATGTGTCTATTTTTATAAAACAATATGCTATTTAGATTACTATAGCTTTATATATAGCTTGAAATCAGGATGTATGATGTCTCCTGCTTTCCTCTTTCTCAGGATTGCTTTGACTATTTGAGGTCTCTTGTGGTTCCATGTACATTTTAGTATTTTTTTTCTACTTCTGTAAAATATGTATTGGAATCTTGATAGGGATTGCATTGAATCTATAGATGGCTGTGGATAGTATGGACATTTTAACAATATTCTTCCAATCCATGAACATGATATACCTTTCCATTTATTTGTGTCCTCTACAATTTCTTTCATTAGCCTATTGTAGTTTTCAGTGTAGAGATATTTTACCTCCTTAAATTTATTTCTAAATATTTTATTGTTTTTGAAGCTATTGTAAATGGGATCATTTTATTTTTCAGATAATTTGTTGTTAGTGTATGCTTATACTAATTTTGTATGTTAATTGTGTATCCCGCAAATTAATTTATTCATTAGATCTCTTTTTGGGGTAGAGGCTATAAATTTCTATATATAAATTCATGGCATCTGCAAATACAATTTTATTTCTTCCTTTACAATTCTAATGCCTTTTATTTCTTTTTCTTGCCTATTTTCTCCGGCTAGCACTTCCAATACTGTGTTGAATAGGAGTGGTTGAGAGTAGACACCCTTGTCTTGTTCCTGATCTTAGAGAAAAATCTGTCAGTCTTTCACTATTAAGTGTGATGTTAGCTGTAAGCTTGTCATAGTTGGCCTTTATAGTTTATATTCATGCAATACTAATTTGTTGTATTTTTATCATGAATGGATGTTGAATTTTATAATTTTTTTTTGCATCTATGGAGATGATCATGATGTTTTAATTCTACTGTGATAATTTACATTCATTGATTCACATGTTCGGCAACCTCGCAACTCAGGGATAAACAACAGATTCCTTTTGGTCATGGTGAATGACCCGTTTAAATGTGCTGCTGAATTTGATCTGCTAGTATTTTATTGAAAATTTCTGCATCTATATTCGTCAGGGGTATATGCCTGTAGTTTTGTTTTCTGCTGGTGTCTTTTTCTGGCTTTGGTATCAGGGTAGTGCTGGTCTCATAGAATGAGGTTGGGAGTATTTCCTCCCCTTCAACTTTTTTTGGAAGAGTTTGAGAATGGTTGGCATTAATTCTTTAAATATTTGGTAGAATTCACCGGCGAAGCCATCTGTCCCTTGGCTTTTTCTTCATTAGGAGACTTTTATTGATTCACTCTCCTTGTTGATAATTGAGCAGTTCGGATTTTATATTTTTTCTCAGTTTAGTCTTGGTAGGCTGTATGTTTCCAAGAATTTTCCCATTTCTTCTAATGATTCCTTGTTTCCTGTAGTGTTATGACTTCCCTTCTTTCATTTATAATTTTGTTGATTTGGTTAGTCTTGCTAAGTTTGTCAATTATCTTTTCAAAGAACCAACTCTTAGAGAACAAGAAAATAGGAAACTTTTAAACCTATCTCATTTATTTCTGCTCTATTATTTCTTTCCTTCGGCTAACTTTGGTCTGTTTGTTATTCTTTTTCTGGTTTCTAGTGTTAGGTTTACCTGAGGTCTTTCTTGATTCTTAATGTGTGTTTATTGGTATGAACCTTCCTCTTCAAACTTTGCTGAATCTCATAAGTTTTGGTATGTTGTATTTTCCTCCAATTATTTACTTTGATAGTTTTTTATTTCCCCTTTGATCCATTGACTGTTCGAGTGTTGTTTAATTTTCCTCCAATTATTTACTTCGAGTTTTTTAGCATTGTGGTCAGAGAAGATATTTGATAGGATTTGGATGTTTTTGAATTTGCTAAGACTTGGTTTGTGGTCTAACATATGGTCTATCCTAGAAAATATTTCATGTATACTTGAGGAAAATGTGTATTTTGCTGTTGTCAGAATGTTCTGTATATGTTTGTCTGTTAGTTCTACATGATCTATAGTGTTGTTCAAATCTGCTGTTTCCTTAGTGATTCTCTGTCTGGATGATCTATACTTTGTTGAGAGTGGGTTATTAAAGTCTCCAACTATTTTATTTCTATTTCCCCTTATAGCTATGTTATTTTTTTTGCTGTATGTATTTAGCTTCTCTGATGTTGGGTGCATAAATATTTACAATAGTTAGATTGACGCTTGATGACATTCTTTGACTCAATACCATTTTTAGTTTAAAGTCTATTTTACCTAATGTAAGTATAGCTACCCCTGCTTTTTTGGTTACTGTTTGCTTGAAATATCTCTTTGCATTTTTTCACTTTGTGTATCTTTAAAGTGAGTCTTCTGTAGGCGGTGTATCATTGGATTTTTTTTTTTCCTTACCTATTTAGCCATTCTATGTCCTTTGATTGGAGATTTAAAGGCATTTGTTAAAGTAATTACTGATAAGTAAGGACATGCTATTTTACAAATTATTGTCTGGCTGTTTTGTAGATTCATTGTTTCTTATCCTACTGTCTGTGTATGTTTTGATATCTTTGGGGATTGGCACACTTTGACAATTTTATCATGTCTTTATGTAATTACTACAGATTGTTCTCTTGTAGTTACCAAGAAGCTTATACAAAATAACTGCTGGAATTCTTAAACTTTCCTTCACTTTTTAGTTTATTGATGTTACGATTTACATATTTATATTGTTTATCCAGTAATTTTATTTATGGTTATTTTTATACATTTGTTTTTAACTTTTAAACTAGAGTGGTATGTTTAAGAGTGATAATATTTACCCCTAAAGCATATTTAAAGCAATAATGTCTGAAAATTTCCCAAACCTTGGGAGAGAAATGGGCATCCAGATCCAAAGAGGTTGAACCTGAATAGGGTTACACTGAGACATAGATTGTCGAGTTGCATACAAGGTTACCCCCGTAAGACTAGGCCAAAAGTGATGAATTGCTATATTGAAAGCAAAAAAAAAAAAAAAAATCTGGTAAAGATTTTTTTAATGGTAAAGCTGTCCTTCAGAAATGAAAGAGATAAAGACTTTCCTTAGCAAATAAAAGCTGAAGGAGTTCTTTGGAAGTAAAAGGATAAAAAAGATACCAGCTATTCATGAAAACATGAGAAGTTACTATAAAACTCAGTAGTAATGGTAAATATATAGTCAAAGTTAGATTCCATAATATGGTAATGGTGCATAAATTACTTACCACTCTAGTTTAAAACTTAAAAACAAATATATAAAAATAACCATAAATAAAATTACTGGATAAACAATATAAATAAATTATAACATCAATAAACTAAAATGTGAAGTAAAAGTTTAAGAATTTCAGCAGTTATGTTGTATAAGCTTCTCGGTAACTGCAAGAGAATCTGTAGTAATAACACAAAGAGCATAAAATAGTCAAAAAGTGTCAATCCCCTAAAGACATCAAAACACACATAGAAAGACAGTAGGATAAGGAACAATGAATCTACAAAACAGCCAGAAAACAATCTGCAAAATAGCAGTATGTCCTTATCAGTAATTAACAAATGCATTAAAAGTAATGGGTAGAGGTGGAAAGGCTAATATAATTGGGTAAAATTTCACCTTCTAATCATAGACCAGTGACCCTCATATCAATATTAAATGTCTTGTCATATCTAGCTATTTACCTGTGTTTCCTGGATATTTTTCTGCAGGAAATGACATCTTCATGCTTTCATGACATTAGAGAGGAGGAAGTTGGATGTACGCTGTGTCCCAGGCACCTGGGGGTAAAAGGATATTTTCTAATGGAATGTATCTAACAGAATGCTTTCCAGAATCCATGTTTATGGTAGATTTCAAAGTCATGAGTCAATAGAATACAGATACAATAGCAATTCTGTTTAGATAAATTTGATAATTTCCAAGGTTCCAGTTCAAGATCGTAACATAGGGGAGGCTCCTGAACTTACCTCCTCCTAAAGACACACCAAATCTACAGCTACATACAGAACAGTTCCCTCTGAAGGAAGTCCAGAAGACTCCTATACATTTGTAGAACGAGAAAAAATCCCTAATCAAAACAGGAGAGGCCGAGATGCAATTTCATCGTAACACCTACTCTGGTGTGGTGACACGCACCTGGGAAGCAACTCCCAGCCTATCCCTCAGGAGTGAAAGGTGTGGGCCCCAGCTTTTAAAACTATCACCTAGAGATAGGTCTTCAAAACATGTAGTTCTGAACAGCAATGGGACCTGCATCAGGCTAAAGTGACCTAAGAGACAGTTGTAAACTAAGAGACAGTTGTAAAAGGGCTCATGTGTACTGACCCTGGGTAATCCCCAAAGACCTAGCACAGAGGCAGCAGACTGAAACATGGCCAGGCATTTCATAAAAGAGGCCTATTTCCTTCTTAAAAGTTTCAATTTGAGGAGCAGACCTCTAATTTTACACACATGTGTGGAGGCTGACTACAGTATTTTCCAGAGACTTTTAGATCTTCGTGCTCTCCCTCTGCATTGCTCCAGGTCACTAGTATTGTCCAAAAAAGAGCTTGTGTACATATTGGGCATCCCAGTTTTTGTGGCTGATGCCCAGGGTACATACCTTCTTAGTCTGGCCCTGGTGGCCAACAGGTGCCATCTTCTGCACTTTCCCTCTTCAGGTCACCATGTTTCAGAAAAGGAGTTTATGCACATGTATGGCGTCCTGGCCCCAAGGACTCATTCCTTAATAACCTGACTCTGGTAGCCAGCAGGGCTTGTGTTCACATGTTCAACGTGACAGTAGCAAATAGTTCTTAACTAGTTATACCCTAAATGGCTCAGTGCAGAGGGAGTACACAGAATGCCCGCCTCCTATTCTTCTCCTGAAAGAGGTATATTTTTATACTTTAAAAGCTGCTGCCTGAGAGTTTTGCTTCCAAGTTGTCTGAATCTAGGTGCCAACTGAGATCATTTCCTGACAGGTGTCGGCACACACTCAAGTACTGGCAGCCACTAAGAACAAAGAAATCTGCTTGGATAATCACAAAGGATTGAGAGACTACTAAGAGCTAGGACAGCATTGAATGATGAGGTTCATCTACACAAAATTAGTTCTTCAAGACTGAGAGAGAGGGCTGTTTTGTATTAATGCATAGAAAATAACATCTTCAAAGTTCTGAAAGAAACTGCCAACTGAGAATACTGTACCTGACAACAGTGTCCTTCAGATATGTAGTTTTGCAGACAAGCAAAAGCTGAAAGAGTTCATCACTACTAGACCTAACAGGAAATGTTAAAAGGATTTCTTCAAGCTGAAACAAAGGAAAGGGTGCTATTTAGTACCGGAAAACATGAAAGTATCAATCTCACAGGTGAAGTAAATAGTATAATTCAGAATAATCTAATGTTGTAATGGTGGTAGGTTAACCACTTATAAATCTAGTATCAAAGTTTAAATACAAATAACATTAATTTGTTAATGAATACACAAGATAAAAAGATCTAAATTGTGACAGGAAAAAAAAAATGGGGGTGAATAAAAATGTAGAATTTTAGAATGTATTTGACCTTTAGTAGTTGTTCAACTTAAAATAGACTGTGATAAATATAAGTTTCATGTTAACCACAAATGAAAACCTATAGTAGATACACAAAAGACAAATCTAATCACTGCACTACAGAAAATAATTAACAAAATGCTGATCAACAATTATATTAAATGTATATGGTCTGAAGTCTCCAAACAAAGACAGAGTGATTGGTGGGTTAAAAAACAGAACCCAACTATATGCTGCCTATAACAGACTCACTTCAGCTTTAAGGACACATATTCCAAGCAAATAGAAACCAAAAGAGAGCTGTGTTGTTAGACTGTAGTAAGAGAGAAGGTTACTATTTAATGATAAAAGGGTCAA